TAAAGTTTTTTGAATATGTAGGGAAAAGAATCTGATAAAGAACCTGACAATAGATACTCTGGTGATCATTGTAGCCCTTGGAATTCTAGTTGTTTCATATGAGTCACAGGTCTCATACTTAGTACTATATAGGATGTTGGCAAAGTCACGGGCCTCATACTCAGTACTATACAGGATGTCGGCGAAGTCACAGGCTTCATACTCAGTACTATATAGAGTGTCAGCGAAGTCACGGGCCTCATACTCAGTACTATATAGGATGTCGGCCAAGTCACGGGCCTATAACTAGGTACTATATAGCATGTCAGCCAAGTCACGGGCCTCATACTCAGTACTATATAGGATGTCGGTGAAGTCACGGGCCTCATACTCAGTACTATATAGAATGTCGGCCAAGTCACGGGCCTCATACTCTGTACTATCTAGGATATATGTTGGCGAAGTCACGGGCCTCATACTCAGTACTATATAGGATGTCAGCAAAGTCACGGGCCGGTAACTAGGTACTATATATAATGTCTGCGAAGTCACAGGCCTATAACTAGGTGCAGTACAATATAGGATGTCGGCGAAGTCACGGGCCTCATACTCAATACTGTCAAGGGTGTCGGTGAAGTCACAGGCTGTATATATCCATAATTATGTTAGGTCTAGACCTTATATAGTTTTATTTTACTTTAAATATATACGTTCACTATCTTTGTACATGTCAAAATTCATTAAATTCACAAAAAAGACTGTAAGAAAGGCTAAAGTTTTGATTGTTTAACAATACGTCAAGAAAAGTACACATGTGTGTTTACAATCAAAGTCACGGGCTTGCTGTTATCGAGTTCACGGGCTTATAGACTCTCCCCATTTTCTAACGAGCTCGTTCCGCCTGAGATTTTGGGCGGAACGTATTATGCGTGAAATAAACTGTTAACAAGTAATTTTCAGGTAGTCACGGGTCTCATACTTAGTACTATATAGGATGTTGGCAAAGTCACGGGCCTCATACTCAGTACTATACAGGATGTCGGCGAAGTCACAGGCTTCATACTCAGTACTATATAGAGTGTCAGCGAAGTCACGGGCCTCATACTCAGTACTATATAGCATGTCGGCCAAGTCACGGGCCTCATACTCAGTACTATATAGCATGTCGGCCAAGTCACGGGCCTCATACTCAGTACTATATAGGATGTCGGCCAAGTCACGGGCCTCATACTCAGTACTATATAAAGTGTCGGCGAAGTCACGGGCCTATAACTAGGTACTATATAGCATGTCGGCCAAGTCACGGCCCTCATACTCAGTACTATACAGGATGTCGGCGAAGTCACGGGCTTCATACTCAGTACTATATAGAGTGTCGGCGAAGTCACGGGCCTCATACTCGGTACTATATAGGATGTCGGCCAAGTCACGGTAGTGTTAAATCTAAAGCAAACTAGCATGGCGCGGCGCCATGCCCCTTTTTCTCGGCGCCATGCCCTTTTTTCCAGCACCATGCCCTTATTTCCTAACCCAAAATTAATAAATATGCCCAGTTTAGGCAATATTCCTTTGCTGTTCTGTTTATTCAGTGCATGCTGATAATCCCTTTGTTTACACAACGACAGGAAATCGCTTCACGCTTGAACGCACCACACAGCCACCTGGCTAATTAACATGCCTCAGGCTGTCAGGGTAGAGGATTTAACTTTAGAAACTGTCATTTGATTGCATTGATTGTGCAAGAATAAGCCCAAGACCAAGGATAAATTAATTTGTAAATTATTTACTAATTAAAATCAGGATCGTTTTTTAAACAGAAAGTAGAATAAAACACATAGTTGAACTTGAAGAAAAAACGGATATTTTATCTGAATAAAATACTTACAGTGCACCAAAAAAACTGAATGTAATGTTATAAAAGGGCTTAAAAACAACAAACTAAGTTAGTTTCTTTGATTGAACAGATAGATTTGATAAGCTGAGGGTCAATGTTTCTAATTGAAGCCAGAGTTTTTTTCTAACAAAATATATTGGGAGTAAGACCAGTTTTCACTTTATCCTGTTGGTAGAATATTTTCCAAGTAAATAGCATGGTTTCTACATGTATTTTTCAAAATGTCCCTCCCCCTCTTCCCTGAAAAAAGTATTTTTAAATTGACTGTACTAGTACACAAATAACACAGTCCAAGTAGGTAAAAAAAAAAAACACCTCCAAACTTTAATAATTTTTGAAGATGTTTCAGCTAGATTAATACCATTACTTTCTCAAGTGTAACCATACTACTTTTTTGATTAAAGAAATTGGATGTAAATGCCTTTTTATATCCTTTTTTGTTTCAATAATTGTCATGTCAGCCCAGGTGTGCTAATTGTGTTGATATTTTTAAAAAAAATGAATGGAATAGATATATGAATTTATCTTTAAAATACTTGTTTAAATAAAGATTTCAGTATGAAAGGATATTAATAGTAATTAAACATGTTAAAGTATGTAAAAATTAATGATTAATATTTTAATCTTTATAAAGACATTTTAATACATTTGTTTTAAAAGTGCCCTCGTGAGATCCCGTCGCGACACAAAGTGCCCTTTTGATTCCTTGATTACCATGCCCTTTTTAGAGTCTAGATTTAACACTACACGGGCCTCATACTCAGTACTATATAGAGTGTCGACGAAGTCATGGGTCTCATACTCGGTACTATATAGGATGTCGGCCAAGTCACGGGCCTCATACTCAGTACTATACAGTACCGACCAGACCCAACCTGACACCCAAGCAGTCCCAGAAAGCAGTCCCCGGGACTGCTTTGGGACCGCTCTGGGACTGCTGTGGGACTGCTATGGGACCGCTGTGGGACTGCTCTGGGACCGCTATGGGACTGCTCTAAAAAGCAGACCCAGCAGTCCCAGCAGTCCCAGCTGTCCCTGGGACTGCTTTCTGGGACTGCTTTGTTCACTCATGTGTGAAAAAAGGTTCTGAGTGACATGATAGCTCCGCCCCTTTGTGTATTCTGAATTTGCAGGTCCCCTGTTGTTTTGTTTACTTGCAGCAGAGATGAGTTTAAACTGTTTAAAAAGCAAGGATTTCTTACAATCTTTTAATAAGTAGAGATTATTATAGTTAATTAATATTTACTTAAATTGTATATTTATATGTAGTTTAGAATAAACTTTTAAAAAATAAACTTGTTAAATAAGGAAGTCAGGAGAAGAATAATTTTTTCCTTAAATATAAGGTTTATGAGGAAAAAATGTAGGCCTTTTTATTACGGGGGTATTTAATGTAAAATTAAATACTAAAAATTTGCATTTGTACTATTTAAAAATAATTATTACAGTTAGATATAAGATTTTTAATTAAAAAGGTATATGTTTTTAACCCTCAAATATAAAATATCACACTTTATTAAATGACAATGAAATAAAATTAATAAATTGAATTAATTAATGCTTCCATTTATTCTTCCGTAACATAAACAATGTGGAAAATCAATGGGGAAATTATTAATGAATTACCGGTAGTTTTTGATTTATAAACAAGTTATTAAAAAGTACATCAATTTCAAAAATAAACAGTTGAAAATACCGGGAATTGTGATTTAATTCTTTTTTGTTTTGCGCCTGTTTACACCGCTGATTAATGTGTATAAAAATGGTATCAACACTCGCGGTTTCAATCGCCTTTGGGCAGAAAATCAGTGTATGTTATTTGGGTATACATATCAGCGTTTCACATCATTGAACATGCTGGTCAACAATGATCCTAATTTCAATCTATGTAAAGCAAAAATGAAATTGATAAATGAAATGTGTATGAATTTCTTTCAGGAATAATTAATTTTGAACATAATCTGAGGGCTCCATTCGGGTGATTTACAGATATACACTCTAACATTTACAAAAAAGCACTTAAAACTTAAAGCACAATATTATAGAGACAGAGAAATTTAAAATAATTAAATTGACATGTCAGTAAAAATAATCATTACTGAAAATTAATACTTTGCAAAATCAACAAAGAATTTTTTTTGAAAATCCCCATTACTTAAGAAAATTTATTAGAGTATCCCGATGATATGGAAATTGGCCATATAACGATAAGAGCTATTTAAAGCTAATTCTGGTGTAAAATAATTAATTCACGTTTAATTTTCTGTCTAGAAAATAAATATGGGAAGCAATATCAATTACAGAAAATAAAGAAATCGTATTATTAATATACCAGATAATTGTGATTTATTTTAATTAATAAATAATAAATTTTAATTAATTTTAATTCAGGACTGCTCTGGTGTAATATTCATGTTCAGTTTAATTTCATATATGTACGTGTGAAAGCCTTTTTCATTCAATTAATATTATTTCAATTTTGTTCCCATGCGCGTACTCTTCATTAATGACCTTCGCACACATGAAAGGATTCCAGGCATACTACCCAGAATCAAATTCTACAGCCTTTTATAGTTCCATTGTTAATTGGGAATCTCATTTCTGAGTTAGCTCTGCCCATTAAATAAATAAACCCCGCCCTCTGGGACTGCTGGGACTGCTTTCTGGGACTGCTGGGACTGCTCTCTGGGACCGCTGGGACTGCTGGGACTGCTGTGGGACTGCTATGGGACCGCTGTGGGACTGCTCTGGGACTGCTGTGGGACTGCTTTAGCAGTCCCAGAAAGCAGTCCCCGGGACTGCTCTGGGACTGCTTTGTGTCAGGTTGGGTCTGGTCGGTACTGTATAGCATGTCGGCCAAGTCACGGGCCTCATACTCAGTACTATATAAAGTGTCGGCGAAGTCACGGGCCTATAACTAGGTACTATATAGCATGTCGGCCAAGTCAGGGGCCTCATACTCAGTACTATACAGGATGTCGGTGAAGTCACGGGCCTCATACTCAGTACTATATAGAGTGTCGGTGAAGTCACGGGCCTCATACTCAGTACTATATAGGATGTCGGCCAAGTCACGGGCCTCATACTCAGTACTATATAAAGTGTCGGCGAAGTCACGGGCCTATAACTAGGTACTATATAGCATGTCGGCCAAGTCACGGGTCTCATACTCAGTACTATATAGGATGTCATTGAAGTCATGGGCCTCATACTCAGTACTATACAGGATGTCGGCGAAGACACGGGCCTCATACTCAGTACTATACAGGATGTCGGCGAAGTCACGGGCTTCATACTCAGTACTATATACAGTACTATATAGAGTGTCAGCGAAGTCACGGGCCTCATACTCAGTACTATACAGGATGTTGGCCAAGTCACGGGCTTCATACTCAGTACTATATAGAGTGTCGGCGAAGTCACGGGCCTCATACTCAGTACTATATAGGATGTCGGCCAAGTCACAGGCCTCATACTCAGTACTATATAGAGTGTCAGTGAAGTCACGGGCCTATAACTAGGTACTATATAGCATGTCAGCCAAGTCACGGGCCTCATACTCAGTACTATATAGGATGTCGGTGAAGTCACGGGCCTCATACTCAGTACTATACAGAATGTCGGCCAAGTCACGGGCCTCATACTCAGTACTATCTAGGATATATGTTGGCGAAGTCACGGGCCTCATACTCAGTACTATATAGGATGTCAGCAAAGTCACGGGCCGGTAACTAGGTACTATATATAATGTCTGCGAAGTCACAGGCCTATAACTAGGTGCAGTACAATATAGGATGTCGGCGAAGTCACGGGCCTCATACTCAATACTGTCAAGGGTGTCGGTGAAGTCACAGGCTGTATATATCCATAATTATGTTAGGTCTAGACCTTATATAGTTTTATTTTACTTTAAATATATACGTTCACTATCTTTGTACATGTCAAAATTCATTAAATTCATAAAAAAGACTAAGAAAGGCTAAAGTTTTGATTGTTTAACAATACGTCAAGAAAAGTACACATAAACTGCTTACGTATCATTATATGTGTGTTTACAATCGAAGTCACGGGCTTGCTGTTATCGAGTTCACGGGCTTATAGACTCTCCCCATTTTCTAACGAGCTCGTTCCGCCTGAGATTTTGGGCGGAACGTATTATGCGTGAAATAAACTGTTAACAAGTAATTTTCAGGTACCTACGTGTTTGCATGTGGTATCGAAGTCACAAGAAATAATAAAATCCATTTTATTCAGTGTGCATAATTGTTAATTAATGAAAATTGTAACATCCAAGTTCGTACTAAATTGGTTTAACTGTATTTCTATGTAAAGCTTTGAGCCTCTATTGTGGCTCCACCCTACCCCCTAGGGCCATGAATTCAACAAACTTGAATCTACACTACCTGAGGAGGCTTCCATATAAATATGACCAATAATGGCTTTGTTATTCTTGAGATTTTTAAAGATTTTTCCTATATGTTCCTATTTAAAACTTTGATCATCCATTGTGGCCCTACCCTACCCCCGGGGGTCATGATTTGAACAAATTTGAATCTACATGTACACTACCTGAGGATGCTTCAATATAAATATGACCAATCATGGCTTTGTTGTTCTTGAGAGGAAGATTTGACAGATTTTTCCTATATGTTCCTATGTAAAGCTTCCCAAGACAAAATGAACTGCTCCCCTGCGAAATGATATTCATGATTTTAAGAACCTTTATGAGTTGTTCATAATTGTTCGTAAATGGTTCTTAAAGGATTCTTACAGGTTCATAAAAGTAGTTCATGAATAAAATTCATGAAAACATTCATAATTCATGGTTCATGAACAAATGATGAACAAATATGAATATTGGTAATTTTCAGTTTAAAGAAAAAAACTTAATAGTTCAAGGTAATGAATGTTCATGAATTTTCATGAAGACTAAAAAAGTAAAAATAATTGTCACAAACAATCGCCAGAAAACACTCATTACTCCCATAATACAACTTTTGTATGCAGATGCAATTGTTGAACAAGCCCCTGATTTAATTAATAACATGCTTTTGTTTTGATTTTGAAAGTATGGGATCAGAGCCGAGTAGGGGAACATAAGAGGTTAAAATCACTATTTTCTACTCTATGTACATGTAAATGATAACTTAGATTCTTCAGGATAATAAAACTCTGTTATAAACTGTCTAGAAGGGAGATTAGATTATAAACAAGAGGCCCACAGGCCTTATAGGTCACCTGAGTATCATGTAACAACTTTCCAGCGATTGTATTTGGTTGTGTTTTAAGCCAAAAGCCATGAAATTCACAAATTTTGAAAGAGGCACCATTGCTTATCAAAGGGCAGATTTCAAAGCATTAATTTATTTTATTAGTCAAAGTACCCCCCTGGTACCCCTGACCCAGCAGCCCTGAAATTATCTATTTTGAAAGAGGCCCCTTTCTTCATTATAAGGCCAGCATTTTTTTTATGTTTAGGTTTAGTTATGAACATGAGAATAAAAAAGTCCCGAAGGAGAAGGAAATAAAAATTTTTTTTTTGATAAATCAATTATTAACATTTGTACATTCTTTTTTTATGCTATCCTAATGGGTTACTGTCGTATCGCCCCAAAACCTGAACGCCCCATGCATGAGCGCCCCAAAAATTTTTACCGGCGCCCAAGTACAAATATGAGCGCCCCAAATATTAATAACGAGCGCCCCAAACGTATTTCACGAACGCCCCAAATTAGCATTTCGAGCGCCCCAAATAATTTGGTCACAGATACACATGCAGTGAAATATTCTGTTGAAATCTGGTGAAATATTCTTTTAAATTATCAAGTTTTATTCGTGTAATTAAAGGTAATAGTACAGTCATTTGTATTACAATCAGAGCACGACCGTAATCCCAAATAAAAGGAGAACCCCCCCCCATATTTTATCAAATACCGGCTATATGAAGTGATTTGAATTAATTTGGCGATAAAGCATGATAATATTGGGGGGAAATAAAACATTTAAATAAAGTCTTACAAATTGTGATAGTTGCTTGACCAAATCTGCGTCATGAAGTCTTTGAAATACAGTATTTTTTTCCTTTGTGGAAATGCAGATAAGTGCCTAAAATGCGTTTATGTATAATTTATTTTTGTAATTAATTTCTAGATGTATTCATTTTAATTTACACGCATGATCCGTCTGTGCATGTTTGTTATATAATTCACATGGAAAGGTGGTATAAGTCGTCGAAGGACCAGAATTACAGTGTATGTTTGTTGAACTGGGTATCTGAAATTATGATTACTGTGTATACACAGACTACAAATCCCAATGATCTAGTGACAGGTGTGTAATATTATGTAGCATTACATAATCAGGTACACAAGAAGCAACGAAAGCGCACGGCACGTGCACTATACTAAGGATAAAATGCGATTTTGAACCTAATCTACATCATTAAAATTAGTAAAAAAAAAAAAAAATTAATAGATAGATGACTTTGGGTAGGTTAAATGATGTATAATTTTTTGTATTCTTATAATTTTTGTTGTATATTTATTACTGACAGATTCTAAATAAATTTCGTAACTCTTATAAAAAAAAATTGCAACCTACGTAGACGATTTAAAAAAAAGTAGGTACTTGGTATCTTGAATAGTTTAATTTACCGATTTACAGGAGATATAAGGTATAAGACCACATGTTTCTACAATGAATATGACAGCTAGTCTAAAAACTTTTCTGGTTATTATTACATAGTTACTGCAGAAATACACATCGGTGTTTAAGTTTATTCTATTCGTACAGTGTATTTCCTCTTTGTAAGATCCTTATTAGCACTGAATAAATCAAAAAAATTAAAAAATCAAAATAAATTACGGTTCGTGAATGCACGTATAAATATGAATTCCATTTGTTTGGTACGTTTACATTTATCTTCATATAAGCTAGTTTACAATTCTTGGGGCGTTTTTATCGCAAAACTTGAAGCACTCGTGATAAACAACTGATAAATATCATTCGGGACGCTCGTGAATAATAATATATTTTTTAAATCTAATAAATTGTAATAAAACACGCATCAAAGACAACAGATTGGTTCTTTACTAGTTAAATTAAGCCTTGGGGCGCCCGAAATGCTAATTTGGGGCGCTGGTGAAATACGTTTGGGGCGCTCGTGATTAAGATTTTGGGCGCTCATATTTGTACTTGGGCGAAGGTAAAAAATTTTGGGGCGTTCATGCATGGGGTGTTCAGGTTTTGGGGCGCAGTGACTAGCACCCTATCCTAATAGGCTCCTTACCACTGGAAACATAATGCTTACAAATAGGAAAGTAGAACATTTAATTGCTTATTTCATCATCTGTCAGTTTGGGCCAGTTATGTAAATTTTGTGATGTTGATCAAAATATATTTTAAAAAATCAATTCTTTAAAAGTCTTTCAATATATCTTCATTTTTTTAATATGTGTTAGGTGAATGTGTAGACATTGTTCTAAAATTTACTTGATGCCTAAAATTATAATTCCTATCATAAAACAGACAGGGAGTATTGGGGAGTAGGGTCAACATTTTTTCAATTAAGTGTAAAATAATTTTTCTGGTTGATACATATGATACTACATGCCTGTATATATTTGTATATTCTTGCCTTTTAATAGTTGAAATTTTTTTTTTTATTTCTTCAGGTTATTGTTTATTTCTTCCTCAAATGGACTTCACTTCTCCCATAGTTTTATTCATTACATCTGATGCATAAGCAACCCTTTTCTGAAGAATGGTGCTTAGACTGTAAGCTATAACAGAGACCTAAACAATGTCCCTGAAAATATGCAATAGCTACCACGGGCAGTTTAAAACCTGGTAGTTAGAATGATCTAACTGTGTCTCGGTACAAGCCCTCACCACAGTTAGAATACGTCCCATATACTTGCAATGTAGCAAATCGGAGCTGATCCGCTCAGAAACGATTTTGAAGAATATAAAAGGATTTGCACTGGAAATAACTACCAAATTAATCAAAACAAACCTTTTTGAGATTGCTTATGCCTTTTATCCCAGTAAAGAATCCATCTAAAGACGAAAATCCAATTAATTTTCTCAACGTTTTTCTCTCGCTTCAAATTTACCTTCCATGTTTACATTCGGAACTCTCTAGATTGTTCTTAGTAAATGCACTGAGTTATAGTGAGTACGAGTTATCGCCCATGTTTCTTTTGCTACATTACGAATACACGGAACGAATTCTATCGTTAAACCGGGGTCCGTAGGACAATATCATTTTAAAGATAGAACATTCTATCTAAAAACCTGGGGGAGGAAAATAATTTACAGCTACTTTTGAAACGAATACATAATTATCTCACCAGCATGTCATTGTGCAACAAAGTCGTCAGCATTTTATTTGTCCTTTGAACGGGTGAAACGTTTTGAATGGCACTCTTATCGATGAATTTTACACTAAACCAAGATATCTTCTCAGATCTAGCTATATTTACCCACCGTTTCATCGTAAAACCGGAAGTGCGAGTTCGTAAATTTGAAATCTCGATCCCGACTCAAATTTGACATCGGAAAGAAAAAAATTGTTTTATTTTTTTCTGAAAATTCAAAACCTTGGGCGGAGGGTTTGTAAAACTGAAAATAAAATAAATCCTGGCCTTAAATATGTAATTAGATCATTAGCATATTAACCAGGAGCAAAGGATAAGACGTTCAAAGAATTCATGCATTTCACTATATAATCATTAGAGCCCCACCCTAAAACAAGAACCCCTGACCCTGGGGCCATAAAATTCACAATTTTGGTAGAGGCACTCTTGCTTATCATAACTATGTACTTAATTAGTTTATTTAATACCCAGGAGCAGAGAAGAAGATTTTCAAAGAAATCATGTATTTTCACTATATAATCAATAGAGCCACGCCCTAACACCAGAACCCCTGACCCTGGGGCCATAAAATTCACAATTTTGGTAGAGGCACTATTGCTCATCATAACTATGTACTTAGTTGGTTTATTTAATACCCAGGAGCAGAGAAGAAGATTTTCAAAGAAATAATGCATTTTCAATAACTTCTTATTTAGCCCCACCCTAGCACTAGAACCCCTGACCCCAGGGCCATGAATTTCACAATTTTGGTAGAGGACTCATTGCTGATTACAATCATGCAAACAATCATGCAAACAGTTTGACTGCTTGATGTCCAGGAGTAAAGAAGAAGATTTTTAAAGATTGCATTAATTTTAGTGGTTTTGGCCCCACCCCTCAGGCCCCAGGGGGGCAGGGATCATGAAATTCACAATTTTTGTTCCCCTTCACCCATAGATGCTTTGTGCCAAATTTGGTTGAAATTGGTTCAGTGGTTGCAGAGAAGAAGCTGAAAATGTTCAAATGTTAACGAACGACGCACGACGAACGATGCACGACGACGGCCGAAAACAGATAGCAATAGGTCACCTGAGTTTACTCAGGTGACCTAAAAACACTGCATCAATACTGACAGCATATTTTACTCATATTGAATTACTAATGTATCTTCATCATTTAAATTGGCCAGCTTAAATGATGAAGATACATTATTAATTCAATATGAGAAAAATATGCTGTCAATATTGATGCAGTGTTTTTAGGTGCGTGAACAAATTCCAAACTCCCAATAATCCTTTGCGGTGCATAGCAACATGGTGGCTCAAACATAGAAACAACTCACTTGAAAAAAAATTACAAACAACGATTTATATATATAATGCAATATCCATGCCACAAAATATCGTTTGCGTTCTAAGTCAACAGGACTTTTTATTTGACGTCATACTTTCGTCATTTAACGACTCGGGTATTTCCAATTTTGTAGGAAACATTCGAAAAGTTCGGAATCTCGATCCCGACGCCTGAGAAGTGATTTCTTTTCTTTTTTTTAATGAACTGAGGATAGGCAGTGCAAGTAAAAGCTGTGTAAAGGTTTTTGATAGTAAATAACTGCGCTCGCCCCAACGGTCGCACCATAGAACATATTATCTCTTGTCCGTACTGTACCGTACCATTCTTGGGTCGAAAAGCTTTAAATTTTGATGCAGTTATTAAGTCACATTTTTTCTGTCCATCGTGTGTAAATGATACAGCACAGGCTGCATAGTGGTGAAGAAGCTATGACATGAACCACATTCGTATTTTGTAGTGTTTTCTCCTATACACTTTCATAGCTCAGGGTACTCAATTTGAGGGCGAGTGGTTCCAAGAGATATTTGTGGTCCTCTGATATGGAGGCGGCCATACTTGAATACGAAACTATGGCTCTACAGGTATAATGTAAAAAAAAAATCCAATTCAATAAATGATATAACTTATATTGATAAAGGTTCTGTAGATCTTTGATCCAAGCTTCCCATTCATGTAGTCTGTCTGCGGGTAGAGGGTCATTCCATCCTATGTTACCTTGACACATCTCCTGCAGTATTCGTTTCCCAGTCAGAGTGAAAGGGGAGAGGAATCCCAATGGGTCGAATATTGATGCTACAATGGATAACATACTGCGCCTAGTAGGAGATGCATTCTGGTCGACAGCTTTGAAGCAAAATGCATCCTCTTCAATGTTCCACTTTATACCAAGTGCTTGTTCCATAGGTAATTGTTCATGTGAAAGGTCTAAGTCTTTAACATCTGCCGCTCTCTCTGATTCAGCAACAGAATTTATTACGTTCTTGTTGTTGGAACGAAATTTGTGTAGACGCAATCCTCCATTGGCACACAGAATCTGTGCATCTTGTATCAACTTGATAGCTTCTTCTTCCGTCTCAACACTGGTGAGCCCGTCGTCCACATAGAAATTATTCTGCACAAAGAATGATGCAGCTTGAAGGTGCTCTTCTTGGCTTCTGGCTAGGAACTTGAGTCCATAATTAGCACATCCTGGGGAGGAAGCCGCTCCAAACAGGTGTAATCTCATACGATATTCCTTGGGTTCTGCATCTAAGTTTCCATCCTCCCACCATAGGAATCGTAAGAAGTCTCGGTCTGCTTCATGTACAACAAACTGGTGGAACATCTTCTCCACATCACACATGACAGCCACAGGGTGTTGTCTGAATCTGCACAGAACACCAGTCAGAGCATTTGTGAGATCCGGACCAGTCAGTAGATGCTCGTTCACTGAAGCGTCTTTGTATCTTGCCGAACAGTCAAACACTACTCTAAGCTTTCCAGGCTTCCTCGGGTGATAAACACCATGATGTGGGATATACCATGTATTTCCACTGACACCATCTGACGATACTGGTTCGGCGTCGCCTCTTTCCAATACGTCTCTCATAAAAGTCTTGTAATGTTCTTGATATGTCTGGTCTCTTTTAAGTTTTCGTTTCAGATGATCTAAGCGAATCAATGCAAGTGACTTGTTGTTGGGCAGGGAGGGTCGCTCCTTGAATGGTAGAGGCATTTCCAAATGCTTATCCTCATGCTGCTGTATGTTTTCTTTCATAAAGTTAAGGAAGGCGATGTCATCTTGAGATATCTTTATATATTCATTCTTGTCGTGAGCAAAGTCTTTCTCCAAAGTTTTTATGACATCCCTGGGTGTACAGCTATGCAGCTCCTTCACTGAAGTTCTGTGACAAACAACAGTAATGTCCGAGTTTGTGCGATCTGTGTATCCAACCACGCTCCAACCAAGCAGTGTCTGGATGCCATATGGCTGGTTCTCGTTTCCTGTTAGAGTTCTTTTTGGTACAAGAGCTTGAGGATAATTGTATCCAATCAAGAGTCCAACTTCACATGACTGAAGAGGTGGTAGTTCATTGCTAAGCTCCTTCAGGTGTGGCCAGCACATTACAGTTTTCCTTTCAGGTATATGTGAGCGATCCGCAGGAATGAAGTCTCTCGTATATGCATTGTCTATTGTCACAAATTCGGTAGACTTGAACCCTCTCACTCTCAGGTTCTGTATACGGAAACTGTTATTGATAGTGTGCTGTGAGGTCATGGTAGACAAGCTGAGACGTGTTGGTTGTCTATTCACATGCAAGGCAGCAGCCGTTTCGTCTAGCACAAAGGTAGTGTCACTTTGTGTGTCTAAGAGAGCATATGTCAATATCTCGTGCGAGGGGTTCTCCTGAACAGAAAACCACACTGGAACGATCATGGAGGTGCTGTGACCATATCCTCTGCTCACACGAAAGGAACTGGCTTCCTTGACCTCTAATTGTTGCTTTCTTGTTGGTGATTCATCTTCATGCATGCAGGTTGGGTGTTTTCCCTTGCAGATACCACACGTATGCTTCTTCTTGCAGTCCTTGTTTCTGTGGCCCTTGCGTAGACATCCAAAGCACAGGTTTTTCTTACGCACTACCACTCGTTTATCCTCAATAGACAAGTTATTAAATTTCTCACACTTGAACAAGGGATGTCCTTCTTTCTCACAATAATCACTTAAGTTGGGTCTCATGTCAGTTCCCGTTGCATTGTGCAGATGAGTTGAATTCGTTGCGAGGACATTTGCTTTGCGACTCGAGTTTTTGTGCTCTCTGGCAGGTTTAGTGTCAGTGTCCTTGAGCGCATAGATTGACGAGACTGGATTACAAACAATGCGAGCCTCCTTTACAACGAAGTCCACAAACTTGGAGAATAATGGATATTCACCAGTAGAGTCAACAGTTTCTTGAACTTGTCGATTCCAACGCAGTGCAGCCCAATTAGGAAGTTTGCTTAATAGTTTCTGATTTTCAGAGCAGTCGTCCAGAATTTTAAGGCTTGGAACCTGAGGCGTTGCATCTCGACAGGCTAGTAGGAAGTCTCCAAAATCTCTGAGAGCCTTTGAATTCCCTTCTGTGATTTTGGGCCAATTCTCTAGTCTCTTCCTAAATGCCTTCTGCATAACAAATGGGTGTCCGTATCTGTCCTGCAGGACTTGTCTGGCGTTTTCATATGCAGAGCTGCTTCCACTGTAGAAGAATCCATCTATGGCCTGTAGTGCTTCACCCGCCACGTATCTCTTCAAATAGAATAGTCTCTCTTGCTCAGGAATGCCTTTACGTTCTATCAATGCATGAAAGGCTGTCTTCCATTCTACGAATCTAAGTGGATCTCCTGTGAACACTGACGGCTCAGGTATAGGTAGTCTATTAAGGTTCACTGAGTCCGCAAACACCTTTGCTAAGATACTTGTTGTAGAATCATCGTTTGTGGTGCTGTTCGAGTTGACTGTAGCGTTGTTAGTAGGTGGGTAGAATGGAGTATAAGTAGACCTCCCAGTGTGTGTAACAGTAGGACGAGTAGTAGACAT